TTCAAATTCAATTAAATTTTCCCTTTAAAGTCGTCCCTTACTCATAATTGGATTGACATCCAATACTTAGTACGTAAGTAATTTGTCATAATGATATTAGTTCTCTCCGATTATATATAATATGAACGGTGAATTCGAGGCTGTACAGTGTACACGTACATTAGCCTTGGAACCGTTAATAACCATAATGTGTATAATATTTATACCATACATTTTTTCAGAACTGTTAGCAGTTCGCACTATGAGAAGTGATGAAAATATTTTTTACTAATCCAAATTAACCAAAAGTTGGCAAAAACATAAATTCATCTGCATGTTTATAATGTTAATAATCGATTTGAATTTATTTACAGATGATGTTTCGAGTGCCAATTCCTAGTTTAATATAAGTTAGTTTTGCAAAGCTGTGGGAATGCTATATGGATTAAAGAAAAATAGAGAAGGTGAAGAATGACCGAAACTAATAAATATTGCTATCAACGAGCCCAGTATTCGCATAAATTAAATTGACAATAGATTTCTAGAACACCAAAAATAACCAATCTTAAAATAATGTTAGTAAAATACACAAATGAAATAATAATGCACAATAAGATAAGTAAATAGACAACAACTCACAACACCGTGAGTGTTTTACGTTGTAAAAACAAATTTAAAAATACATAATATTATTTACCCTTTTCTGATGAAAGATTGTTTGAACTCTAAATTAGTTGTGTTCCATCTAAGATCTAACCTCAACAAAAAGTATTGTAGACACCCCTATAAGTAGTTAAATTACAATGAGTAGTTTAAGTAGAGTTTGTAAATTGTAATGTCAACTGTATAATTGCAAGTCGTATACTCGTATTACTTCAAAGATAAAATTGTTAGTGTTCAAGGCTTTCCAAAAGAGAAAAAATGTAATGCGGAATGGTTAATTAAAAATGGAGTCATCAAATACATTGACAAACTTCGAGCATGCGTAAATTTGTGAATGGACAAAAGTACCCTGAAGAAAATGCTTCGATTATGATCCAAACCTTTTAATGATGAAGACTATCATAAATCTGTTCCAAGTAATATAATATTATTTTTCATGTTTGATTAGTCCGGTAATTTAAACTTCTTAATTTGTATTGGATATTACTAAAATAACTAAACGTATCTTGAAAACTGAAGTTCCGACCCAAAATCTGCATAAATCATCATTACATACAAATTCACCAATAAAAACGACTTTCACCTAAATCACCAATAAAACGAATGTCACCTAAAAAACTTCACTAGTCAAAAAAAAATTAATGAAAAATCAGGTACAATGCGTTTGATTTTGAACCACTAAAATGAGCTTTAATTCTTTATATTATGTAGGTACTTAGCTAAATTAAAAATACTAATGTTATACATTTCAAACAACTAGATGTTAATACAACTTTTTTTATTTTTGTTTTCTATGGTTTAGCCCTTTGTTGACTGACCGCACTTATAAGGATATCAAAATAAAAGGTATTTGAAGAAATATCGCAGAATACTATTTTCTGCTTTTAATGGGTTGCTGTTAAAGAGTATCATATGCCGATTAAATAAATTATATTTTAAAATCAGCTATACTATAAATTATTCAACATTTTATCGGCGATTATTATGGGGAACTGCAGCATTTACCATATGTACATGAGTTGGTTTTTTCCTTTCTGTTAATATGTAGGTACATATTTTACAATTACACCGCATGAAATATTTTGTTTATGTTTAGATATATGTGGTGTATTAATTGAGAATCCATTATCGATATAATGGAATATTTTTAAATAAAAATGTGGACTTGTAAGTACCATTGGTCTTTCACGGTAGACATTTAGTCAGTGATCAACTCTTGATCATTGTACATATTTGTTTACTGCCGGAGTATCTGTGAAATCAAGATTTTTTCGTACTTTGCAAATCATTTTGTTAACCATAACAATTTTTTTTTTATAAGCCAAACCTTTTATTTTCTGTTTCCTCCAAATTAATGTGCAAAATCAAAAATTGTTTGAACAAAAAAGATTATAACAGACACCCTGACCCTCAGAAACATTTTAAAAAGAGCAAGTTCCACATCAATTGAAAATCTGAGAGAAACAACATGCTGTCAAAAATAAACAAAAATATACTTAGATCCAATTTTAATTCATATAAGTGGTAGCCAGTGACACATTTTTTCTGAACTGTCTGGTTTATTTTAAGCCATTCGTAATTCTTATCACATACTTTTCACTATCAAACTATGGACTATAATAGGGACCATAAGAAAGAGAATTTTTGGGTCAAAATATTTTTTATTGTCTAAAGACGATTATTCACATTATAGAAAAGTATATTTTATAAAACATGAAGTGAAAAATCGAAACTTAAATAAATTTGTTATACACGTCTCTTCTGATTTTCCTGGAATCGAGTGGGTAGGCAACCTAATATACGCGTGTAGGTTTTTGATGAGAGTAGACGGCGCGGAATCGTATACAAAATACAAAATTTGTAATAAATATTTGTTTATATTATATTATTTTAATAATTTGAATATTTAATATTCAATTCATTATTCAGTTCCACTTATGTCAATGTTTTCAACTTTCTACAAAATAATCTGTAGATCATTGAAACTGATTATCAATAAACTATAGTGGTAACTGAATTAACAGTAGGACCAGTAGGTACATAGATAAATTACCAATATCTAAGAGGAATCTAAGAAATAATGAAAGTAGAATTTAAAAAATAAATACATTTACCAAAGACAGTTAACTGCAAGCTGTAAACCTGTTACAACGAGCTGCAGTCTGTTCCACAGCAATACAAATTGTCCTTAAAATATATAAAAATAAATTATAGCATGATAGATTTATTTCTTGGTCGCCCCTCGTAAAAATTAAAAATAAATCTTAATGTTAGAAGTATATAATGTGATTCTAGCAGGGGGGACATAGCCATTTGAAAAAAATTAAAATGAGGCTATTAGGCATTTAATGCTAATGGAGCAAATTAGGATCCCTGTATCAAACTTTGAATTTATCATATATGTAACATTGTATCAATATTTTAAGATTTAAATTAATCTTAATTAATTTAGGTAGCTTTCTGCTACGAGTGTTATTGTATTTATCATGTAATTTTTAAAAATTTTCAAAAGGGTTTCAAAATCGTTAATTATTTTAAAAGTAAAATAAAATAATATTGAATATTTTTTCAGATACTTTTCTTTCTACTTTAATAAAAATGTTTGATATTTTTATAAAAAAAGTTATCGGCAATAAAATCTTATATTTTTACATAATACACTTGTCCATCGAAACTAAGTATGTCACTATATATCGTCATATACTCATATCATATGACTGATATTTCTTTTAAACAAATGTTTTTTTTAAGATTGAATCAACCTAATGAACAATAATAATGAGATTTAAAACGTTTTTTCAAAAAATAAACTGCATGATTGAAATTGATGTTTTAACAACCAAAATTACATACAAACATTTTTTAAAAATCAGATTTGCCAATTGGGTATTATGTATTTTCCAAAACAAATTTATATCAAATTTAAAAATGTTTATTATGATTAAACGAAGAAAAAGAAAATGTAAGGAAGTACTACTAATCTGTCCCAAAGCGATGGATGGCGAAGGAAAGAAAAATGTATTTTACACAATAATTTCATATCAATTAAACTGTTTTTCAAAAATAAGATGTTTATTGAGACTCTTAAACAACCCGAAAGGATTTTTATGAATTTTGTAAAAATTTGAATTTCAAATGTTCATAAAATTTTAATATGATTTTCCAGTTAATATTTTTTTGATCAATGTAGACAAACTCATGAGAAATCCTATATTACATTTTCAAATATTAGATTTAAAAAGACAATTTTTATACATTCATGACTCAAAATTGCGCTATGAAAACTACTGGGAATTTTAAATTTTAACCTTGTGAATACACCAACTATATTTACTTTTAACTTAAGTTGAAAATCAAAGCATTGTTTTCTTAATTATCTGATAGTTTCTGTACAAAGATAATTCGGTGGAGACTAGTTCTTTTAGTAGGTATATTGAGAAGGTTTTCATATCTATTATTTTAAAGGGTATATTTCTACAAAATAAGAGTATAAGTGGATATTTTATAGGGCATATTTCTAAGGTTTTTAGAGCATATATAGCTTGGCTCTAGTCATTATCCAATACCATGTTACATATGTATTATATATACTTATATTTTAATATTTTATTAAATTATATTATTGTTTTAATTTAAAGTTATTTGTTATAAATCCATGTAAATATCATAACTGTGTACATTACACTGTATTGTGGTGTATAATTACATATTGGAATTGGAATTTTATTCCGTAAAATAAAAAAATTTAATATTATATTCAATATACTGTATATAATCTTTTTAGTGGTCCTTCAAAAAATATCGATAACTGATAAATATTATCTACATCACCATGCATCAGCAATTAGTGTGAAAGCTAGTTGGAAGAAATTTTGAACATTTTATAATATTGAGAAATTAATTTATTTTGTGGACATTATTTGCTACATTTAACAGACAATAGGAATTTAATTAATCTAATTTGTGAACGATATTGTTTGATATTTTACTATTCTAGAATCATTTAATGTACCAATTTTGAGTTGTAGTTACTAGCGATACATGACTACAACAATTCACAATTCATAATATTAAATATAAATAAATCAATTAATACCTATTCTTAAATTATATGTCACAATTTATGTTTATTTAATTTTATTCAATATTTATTATATTATATTTAAAAAAATATTTTTTGAATTCCGAGCAATGTTCAGATACATTTAACCTAAGCACATACCATGCAACAGTCGCACGTCTTATATAAGATCATGATCAAATTACCTAGTATCTTAATCTGGCTTTAAATATCAAAACAATTGTTATAATTAATCATATATCAATAGCAGTACAAAAAATGAAATACAAAAACAATGTTCACAATAAAAAAACATTTTTAAACATAATAATTGAAGGATTTTAATCAAAATGGTCAGGATAGTGAAATCGATTATTCGGATTATGTGGATTATCATGGTCCATTGGTGGTTGAGATCGGTAATCATATCCTGGTGGCATGTAAGGTTGATGGTGTGGGTAATTATGTCTTGGTGCGTACATAGGATCATAATACCATGGATTGTAAGGTTGACGGTAAGCGTGACTGAATTCCATAGAACTTAAATGCTGAGCATAGGTGGGGAATGGTCTAGGACCATTATGATCACTGTTACCATGATTATGAGGATGAGGGTTGTATGTTTGTTGTGTTCGATTATTAGAATTTTGATAAGATATGTGTGGTGTCATACTCCTTGGTGGCATATTCCTGGGTGTCATACTCCTTGGTGTCATACTCCTTGGTGTCATACTCCTTGGTGTCATACCCCTTGGTGTGGAGTTATTCCTGACCACACGTTGGTTGGGAGGATCAGGTGATTTGTCCTTATCTACTGTATCATCATCTTCTTCTGAAGGTTGTGCACATTTTTTCTGTCTTCGTTTTTTCTTGGCTAACTTTTCTGCTTCGTCATCAGAATAATCTAAAAACTCGCAAGGTGGTTCATTATTGTCTCTCCAGGAAGCATCGCTTCCTTTCATTTTCATAAGCTGAGACACTAAAACATAGCTTGCATATTCTGTCTTAGGAGCACAGTATACAGGTTCCTTAATTTGTATATCAAACATTTTGATATGATTAGAATCGTTGAAACGAACAGCATAGAAGGGTTTAATTACTGGCCCAAATACATCAAATATTCTTCCTAAAGCTCGTTTTCCCCGATCCACAAATAGTACAGAGTCAATATCTAATGCCGGTTGATTTAAAAATGCTTCAACGATAACTGGAACATAAAAAAAATTTAAATTATAATAATTTTGTTATTTAACAAAAAATATAAAAGCAAGATATTTTATAGGGATTTAAAATTTTTAAAGTAGATAAAAAATGTATTTATTACAAATCGGAAAGTTATACTTGCCTAAAGTATCAACAACACTTTTTATACATCCAACTGGTTGACATTCTTCTTCTTCAACTGATATTTTCAAATCTTCAATGGGAGGTAAATCAGAAATATCTAATTCTCCTTTAGTCTTAACAAAATCTTTCGGAAATGTACTGGATGATACAGAAATTATGCTGTTTTCATTATCAGAATCAATCAATTGATCATCATTATTTGAACCATCATCACTGCTAGTATCACTATCATCAGAACTACAAACAATAAAATATTATTAGACAAATTTGAATTAAAAAGTAGAAAGCAGTATGGAAAAATAATTATTAACATTGTTTAATATTATGTTTAAGATAATTTTTTTTTTTTTAAACAGTAATTATTACTAAAACTCAAGCATTACAAACAGAAATCTAGATACCTAACACTGAAGGCAAAATAAATCCCATTGAAATATCCTATAAGTGTAAAATATAATTAATATATAAACTATTAGTTATTCAATAACGGATTTAAAGATATAGCAGTATTATATGAATTGAGTGATAAATCATCCAATTAGTCCTATAGTATTGGACATACAATATAATTCAGAATGAGGTTGAGTTTTTAACTATGAAAATTATTTCTTTCAGTTAGGTTTAGAATAATCAATATTCAACTGTATAAATATATTTGATCTACAACAATTGGACTTAGCTATTAAAATATGAGGAGTCAAAACCATAAAACCAACATTGATAGTTATTAACGAAACTGTACTGGATAAACAAAAACAGCTTAGAAAAAAACAGGTTTATTTAATACATATTTTTAGTACATTCTAACCTAACTTATAGAGCACAAACAATAAAAGAAACTATTTGGACTAAACAGAGTGTAAACTGACAAATAAATTTTGTTCTAATGAATATTTTTATAAATATGTATTTGGGCTAGGTACAAATATTGACTATCAGATTAACCAATTTTGAGCAATATTTTTATTGTCATGATTACTTATTAATTATGAACATATTTATGATTCATACATTTTCTTCGAAGTGGAATACATCAAGTATCGATCTACATTTATATATATCTGAGTAACAATAATAGAACAATCTTTTTCAATGTAATTTATTGACTCAAATGAAACGTTCAATGATTTTTTTTAATTTGTAATGTTAAACCATATATCTACATCAAATGATTTTTTTATGATTTTTTAAAATTACATATTTTTCAGAATAAATCATTAATTTGAAAGATAATAATTTTTTAAAAATATTTAGATTTTTATAAGTACCTATTTGGAAATTCTCATAAAATATTTATAAAAAGTTTGTACTCTTTGAATTTAAAAAGGTTTTTTTTTAACAATTGGATCAACTTTACTAAACAAAAAATAATAAGGTTTCGGAAAACAAGCAACAAGACTTAAATAAATGTTTTTTACAGTCAACATTTATCAAAACCCAGATTTACAAATTGGCTATTTTGAATTTAAAAAAAAACATTTATCAGAATTTAATTTTTTTATTTTCAGTATTAAAAAATAAAAAATGTAAAGTTGCATCATTTAGCTGATCTTCCTGTTACATCCTTTATGTACCTTAAGTTTTTGTTGTTACTACTTTTTTTCCTGGTATAATATCTTCAAATTATGCATCACAATAAGTATTAGACAGACAAAATAAATAAAATACAACAATCACAAAATCTGTCGACTTTAGTAGTGTCTAAATGTTTCTAGATGTCCATACTAAATCAGATATTATGGAACAGTTTTAACCAGCCAACAGTGTACTAGATGAAAAAAGTTTTTTAATTTTTGGTAGATCTAAAAGCATACATTTCTTAGTTTTATTTAAAATATTTCCTTTAATTTTAAAACTATTTATTAATTTCATATTATTTAATATTAATATCTATATATGATATATTTATATTTATTATTTATGATTGATTTAAAAGAATTATAATTATTATTTATAAATGGCTTAAATTATTTCATAACATGATATCGAATTTTACTACTATAAAAAATTGTACTTCATTAAAGTTGAACAACTAATAAATTTGATATTATATTATTTATTTAATTTTTTTTTATAATTATTAGATTAATATTATTTTATTATTACATAAACTTAAATTAAAATTATTTATTGTTATACAGCTCAAATTATTTAAACTTTTTTATACTTTTTTTTATCAGTCAAATATTCTGTTGTCTAAACCAGTGGTTTTCAACCTTTTTTGGGTCGCGATCCCCCATTTTTATTTTTTTTGTACTGCGACCCCCCTTCAAAAAAAATGTTGTTTTATTCATCAAAATTTGATTTAATTACTGAAAAAATATTTATTTGTTATACGATTTTGATTAATTTACTCTTAAAAATTTAATTAATTCATAATACAACATTATTTTAAAACAATACAAGCATATACAATAAATTTAAATATAAAAAAATACATAATACATAAACTGTTGTTAATGGGATACTTTTCCATTTTAAAACAGTATAGTAACGTACTTTATATCGCGTGAGATACATGTACTGCACGAATGACACCTAAGTAGGAACTGATTATTATAAATATTTGCGACTGAAATTGTTCAAATATACCTATCCTATGTATACGATACGAGTTACGAACAATTTAATAATCCATATCCGCTATCGATAAGATATTAAATAATAAATTAAGATTATACGCTCCTCAGCATGTTCTATAATCTATAATTCTCTATATAAAACAAAATTAAAAATTAACTTTATTTTATTTTTAAAAAAAATGGAAAAATCATTTCATCTATTATTTTTGGCGACCCCCAAACCTATCATTCGCGACCCCCTTGGGGGGTCGCGACCCCCAGGTTGAAAACCACTGGTCTAAACAATACATGATTGTGTCAAAATAGCATCGCTTCGAGATGGACCCATTCATTGGTCTATTTCTTATTTTATTATCAGACTTTTATAGATTACATAATATGAATATTAACTGAAAGAATATTTATATTGACTAAAAAGATTATTCCAAACAAACAAATTCTTATTAAATAAATATAAGCAAATTATAAAATGTATACCTCGAATCTTGGTAATTTGCAGAAATTAAAGACAATGTTGATGGCAAATTTCCTTTGGACAATACAACAGCAGACCTAAAAACAAAACAAAATTCAGTCAACATTTTAATAATACATAATACAGAGAAATTAATACGAATTACTTAGAATCCAATTCAGGCAATACGTCACAATTTGCTAAATTTTCCTGTGTTGTAACCAAATCTTTAGAAGCATCAAATGTTCTGTGAAAAATGTTTAAAACTTAGATATTACTTCATAAAAATGTATATTTTGTTACATAATTTTGGTATTTTAGATGAGTGTTATTGAATGACTTATAGTTGTAAATATGAATATTTCTTGATGTACTAAATTATATTTTTAAATGAGATCAAAATATTTTGTTAAGAAAGGGAAATATTCAGGTACAAGTTGTTAAAATAAAATAATGATAATTGAAAATAATTACACAATACCAGCTATAAGTATCACAGATTTTAAGAATAATGACTGTTTCAGAAAAACACACTATAAAGTGTCTACTATAACTATTTTAAATTAATAAATTAATGCCTACTTTGATTTTTCATAATTTTTAGATATACTAGCAAATGAATATGGTAATTCCGTGTGATCCAAATCAGCTGACCCTGAGCTAAAAAAAAAAACTATATCAATACATAAAAATACATAATTTAACAATTAAATTATTTTTATTCATAAATATTTACAAACTTCTATAATAAGGATGTCAAAGCACTTATTTTTGTTTTCTCTCTCCGAGTCACATTCAAACTTAAAAATCTTCTACTGAAATATTAATTTTAAAACAAGTTTGTAACTTGCTTTAAAATGTATATATCAATAAAATACCATGAAGTATCTTAGATATTAAATTTACATTTGATAATAAACCAATTCACTCTAATATTAAAGCTAACAAGAACATACAAGATTTTTTCTGCTGAACACAAATTTGGTATGTGGCACATGGATCAGAGAGAGGATACAATAGTGCATTTATGACTACACAACATAAAAATATTAATATTAAAAATCAAACCGAATTATTCACTAACAAAAAACTTCATTAATAGATTAACTAATAATTTTCATGAGGTGGTTAAAGTTTAAAGATTCATGGATATAAAATTTTATTCATACAATAATATATGAATTTTTTTTTAGTACAAAGACAATTTTGGAATTGTATTAAAAGTATTATATAATTATAACAATAACAATAAATATATACAATATAAATTAATTAAGACCTACATACACTGGATAAACATTTACAAATAATATACTTGAATAAACCGCAGGAATACCTAACACGTTTAGCTAATCCGATGCAAGTTTTTTTTAAATATAGGTAGTTTAATTATGACTTACCATATAATATGACTACCAAAACAATTACTCTCAGCTATCTGAACAGAATCACTGTTTTTATCAGCTATAATGTCATTGAAATTCATTTCTTTGGTGGTCTTTATAACACGTTGATCATTTTCATTACAACTATAAAAAATTTATGAAAATTACAAATACAAATACAATTATCAAAAATGATTCACGAACATGAAAATCAAAAAAGAACTTAGTCCTTACTTCTTACTCTATAATCATAAACAATCTTACACAATTACAGATTTGTTATAAATCATAACTAATTAATAATTTAAACTATGTGTTTGATAATTTTAAATTTTGAAATAGTATGCCATAATTACACTCAGACAACAATATATTATATTAGTAGGTAGTCCGTGGTTGTTAAATTAAAAATTAAAAACAAAACAAAATCAGAATATCTCACAGTTTATCAACTATTGTTTCAACCACTTCTTCGGCTTCCATATTAATATCGTTACTCGATTCCGTAAGAGCTGTAGTATTCTCAACATTACTTTCTTCATCGGCGATTCCAAAAAGTCCATTTACAATTAATGCTCTATAAAATATGTGAAACATAACCGTATTCAACTATGAGAAAGCAATTTGTACAATAGCATCTATATTCTGATAATAACTGTAAACAAATTATTGGGAGCATTCTTACAATGTACAGTTGAAGTCAACGGACACTCAACAGGCGGAATGCTGCTGGTAATAAAATCTGTTATCAGCCGGTTAGTGTTAATCGACACTTGACTAGACATGTAAGAACAGCCCTAAGTATTTTGTTTTGTTAATATACACAGAACCTTAGGGATACATTAGTATTTGATAACAGAAACAATGATTTAACTTAAAATTGTGCTATAAATTCAAAATATGAGTACTTTGGTGAAAAACAAATATTTGTAAAATAGTGGCAATATACCACACGCAAAAATTAGAAATTGAATTGAAAAACACTGTTTCTGACACCAAGGTAAAGCGATTAAATGTGATTGAAAAATTGTTTCAAACCCGTTTGCGCACACACTTAATATCCACTTCCGGGATGAAACTTTTATGTTATGCTACCTAATATGATGGTACACTCACTCGTCATTTTCTTCAGTAGTGTATTCGTCAGATGAATCGGAAATTTGATCGTCCATCTTCTAGTTGTAGGTATTGTTTGAAACAGAGTTAGAGTTATCGGCTGACCGTTCGGACGGACAAGAAGCTTAAAACGACGACGGCGTATCAAGGTGTTCAGCTGAGAAATTGACAAAAACGAATAAACGCGAATTTATAGACAACGATAATGTCTCACATTATTCTGAAATATTAGAATTTAAAACCACACTATATTATTATGATGTAAATAATAACACATTAACACAATTCGCTTTGGCGCTCTCTCACACGTGAGAGATAATGATAACACGATATTTTGTAGGTTATGGCAGAACCGGCGAAAAAATAACTTGTCCGATAATCCTTGATCGACAATAAAACAATATACAGATTCTGATTACAGAATAGGTACAACAGAGATCCAATTTAAATCAAAAATAAACGAGTTCCCCCAAACAACTTGTGATCTATGTAGGGCGATTTCTTAAAAGCTCCAAGATTTTGGACATTTTTCGACCGATTCCTCATCAATGATACCTACACGGACAATAAATTGCTCCCGCATAAAAATGAGTTAATTAAAAAATATGTCCTTATAACTATTAAATCACTAAAATAATTTTAAATGTTGCATTATTAACGTTGTATATTTTATCGTAATGTCATGAAAATAATGTCAACTTTTCTTGGCAATACATTTGATAGACCTAAAAAAAAAATTAAATGCATAACAACTTCCGATTAAATATTTGTTTTTATCATAAGTACCTATATTTTTATTTTTTATTTGCGTTAGTATTATTTTTTATACTAAGTAATAGATAAGTCTTATATAATTTATCGTAGGTTGAACAAATTTTTGTCAACATGACATACACTATGTCATTATATATATTATATTATAATAATCAGGATTTGGGACTTATAGTCCAAAAATACCTAAAAATATGTACCTACTACAAATGTAAAAACAATCACTTCAAAAAAAGAATACATATAATATATTTGAAATTCAATAAAAATAATTCAAATTTTAGAAACAACAGGTAAAATATTATAATTTATAGCACATGAACATAAAAAAAAAGAATTTGAAAATGAATTATTAGACAGGTACAAAAAACTACCTACGCTCAAATATGTGACGTATTTTAATAAGCCAACTTGCATGACCTGCAGTGGCGTAATTAGGGCACCGGGACCTCCAAGTATGTCCAAGTCAATGTTTTTTCAAACGGTTTGCAGCTCTATTGATGAAAATATTGTGATTTATACGTCATCGTGCGTCGTCGTCTAATTGCAATCCATGTTACAATATTATTATTAGTTCCTAGAATCATTATTTCGGGTCGAAATAGACGATCGGATTTTTCCGACTTGTCGCCTTGTTCTTCCCAGCACGATAAATATGCCGGAGGTGGCGAAAACCGTCACTGTCTGTTTACCACAATCTAACTCAATAATTCAATTTGTAAAAAAATCCGGTCGTCTTTTTGGACATTTAATGATCAATATTTCGATAAAAGTCGATCACTAATCCTGCTATTGTGCAATATTTTCTGATTTACATAACGCATAATCAATTATTATTATCCATGAATCCATGATCATGATTCGAGAACATGGTAGTAATTGTTAAAAATCGTAAGATAATAAGAGTCAATACATCAAACAGTTTTAAAATAATATACTTTGTATAACAATTCTTATTTCTATGCAGCTTCTTTGAAACGTATTTACACATACCTACATTGAAAGAGATAACATGCATATAGGCGTACGGGGGGTTCCGGGTGTGTCTGGGCACCCCCGACATGTAATTGGGGCCCTAAAATTTAAGTCCTGTAGTATATATATGGATCCGGATTTTAACTAATTTTACTAGAGTAAAAATGTTATTTTTTCTAAAATATGTGATTAAAAAAAAAATATGTTTAGGGATAAAAAAATAATACAACGTAAAGTATTTTAAATTTGCATGATAAAATGTATTATGATTACAACAGCTAGCTACTAGATGTTATCGACTACAAAAGTAAAAATATCAAATAAATAATGCAATTATCTAAAAATAGATTTTAGATCCAACTATTTTATGAAATATTATGTATATTATATAACTTGGAATTAGTATCACCACTGATTAATATGAGATTTAATTCCGTGATACTATTAGAGACCATTATATGGGTTATAGAGTTTTTCTTACATTTTGTAAAATCAAAAATAAATACAACAAACTGATATCTACTATTTGTTATAGTTATAACATTGAAATATTATGATTTGACTGTTAACTAAACTAAATAGTAAATATTACTTACGAGTTATTCTACAACGATCACTGTCCAGCGTTCACTGATTACTGAACCAACGTTGTAATATTATTTTATTTTTTTAAATTAAAATCATGCCACCTAAAAGAGGTGGCCAAAAACGTAAAGAAAAAATTAAAAATGATTTGAAACTGAAGACAATTTGAGGTTCTTTAGACAAATTTATTCTGCCCAAAATAAATCGTAAGTATATCAATTTTATAGTAATAGTATTATAGTTAATAGTAATGTTACGTCCTATAGATACTATTAAATTTAAATCCTAGATATAAAACAAAACTAATATATGTTTATTGTTATTTCTTTTTGCCATTAATTGTTATAAATTATTATTATTGAATTGAAAAGTGAGTTACCTACCTACTTAATAAAATAAATAAATTAACTATCAAAATAATTTTAATAATCAACTAAATATAAAATGTAATCAAAACATAATAAAAAACCTGAATACAGGGCTGGATTTAGAGGGGGGCTCGGGGCCCCCACAAGATTCAATTAATAAGATCTTATTAACCAACCAAAATAATTAGCTTTTTTTTTAATATTACTAGTAATTTGCAAAAAAAATATTTTTTTTTTTTTCAATTGTTTGATAAGTGACGCTATTAGTGTGTGATTAAACGAATCACCAGATTGGGATTGGTAATTTTTTACCATTACTACTTAATTATAAATAAAATTACTCAACTACAGTGATGAGTGATGTGTCGTAAATCATTGTAGTTATTTGAATATCAAATAATTTATTAAAATATGTACATGTCTTGTTCGGGTCCAAATTAAAAAAAGGGCCCGAAAAAATGTAGGCACCCCCCGAAATTCAAGTCTGCACACGCCTATGAACGGCTACATAGTTATAATTTTTTGAGACGTTATCAATCTAATATTTCGCATAAAATGTTCACATGTTTTTTTAAAAGGACACCCGCATGTGTTGTTTCCGTCTTACAAATGTTTTACATAGCAAAAACTGTTTCGCATGAGAAACAACCGAAAGACTACAACAATAACTAAGAAACCAGATTTTCACCATAAATAGAGGAAAACTTTAACTGTGTCGTAAATTTTATTTTTTCGATATACCACCGATGTATCAAAAGTTATTTAAGTTTGGAAAACGTATAAATATCAGATATTTAAAAGTATTATTACTTTTTTAATTTATGATATCAAACAAATAAAAACGCTACAACAGAAAATATTATCTTCTATATTGTGCACACTTTTGGTGTCCCTACTAGGATTGCAGTCTGAGTGGTTCTATTCTACCCAAAAACAGTTTTCACTATGTTGTACATTTGTAAGACAGAGATAACACTTGCGGGTGAGGCGGTAATCTCAATGTTTTTAAACTGCTATTGTAATAAATAATAATATATCAGCTTTGTAAACAATTTTCAAGCTTTTCGACCCAACAAATAAAATTTTATTGACATTTATAGAAGAAAAACTAAAAAAATTTTAAATGCCCGTAAATAGCTCAAGACGAGTCAAAAACAATTTTATCGATTATAGAAAATGATAAAATAAACAAATGATGGACATTTGAAGTATCAACGGTTATTCGTTTTTGTATTACAATAAATTTGAACAAAATAAGAAATTCACTCCATTAAAAATAATTTAATATCCAATGTTGTAAAAATTTAACCTCAAAAGCTCATAAAAATTTAAAATATCTAAATTTTACCCATACATAAAATTAAAATGTTCAATATTGTTTTTAATAATTTTTGGATGTATAATATGCCAGCTAATATACAAAATTAGTTATAATTTTTTGAAGCACTGTTATTTTTTTTAAATTTCAATTGTGTTATTCTTATAAAACAGTAACATTAGATGAATAATAATGGGTACTACATTTTACTTCTGTTATATTATGTACATTAAAGTAACCCACATAAATCATAATCTATAGCTGTTTTGGTTCTTAACACCAGCGGACATGGCAGTTTTGTTTTAACATTTTGTAACTACGCAACAACTATTATAATGCTATTATTGGTATTTGTTACTACCTCCTGTTAATAACTTTAACCTAGTTTAATTAATACAATTTTAATATTATTATTACTATTATTATTATTATTATTATAATTAAACCCTTAAAAAATCGATATGACACATAAATAATAAAAATATTATACGGCGTTATAGATAGGCAGTTTTAATGCCATACGTTCATCTTTCTGGTATCTTTCATTTTATGTAGGGTTCAAATTTGAAAACAAAAAAATATGCACATAATATTATTTAATAAATATTACTTTATAGTACGTTTAAATAAAAAATTAAAACGTACACAATATAATCAATACAAAACACAAAATAATCTATAAAGAAACATTGAATAAAAAGTATTAGATAGGTGTGGCATGGTTACATTATGTCATTGTAAAAATTAACTTAATTATTCTGAACATATAATTATTAATTATTATTATTTAAATTAATACGAGTTAAAATTAGTTGTATGATTGAGTACAAAAAAGATGTACCTAATTAAATGGTAGCTTATACAATTCGCTGCAGTTGTCATGTTAGTACAAATCAATACATTTGTACATTTTAGACGTACTTACACTACATTTTACATTCAATACTAACATTATAACTTTTTTAAGATGAACATATTATGTGATTTATCTGATTTAAAATTATTTTGAAAAATACGTATCCATTTACAATATTATGTGAAATAAACATTATTATATAAAACAAAAGTGAGATTATTTTTTCCAGAATTTTCGGAAACGCATTTATTACAGCTCCAAGTTGGAAAATTACACTTAATACGTATTTACATAAGAATAATATGTAGGTACCTTTTATTAATTGTATTAGACTACTATAAACTACCAAAAGTCTACAACTTTAAATAATACGGCTTGAAGTTGTAGACTTTTGGTAGTAGCCGTATTATTATATAAGTTTCTGATTTTGACTCTTCACCGTTGTGGCGTTGTCAACAACTGAATACATTTTCGTCACCCACTGGTCATTCTTTTTTAAAACTGCTCAAGTGATAAGTAATAAAATTAAAAGAAATTTGCTGCACATAAATGTATTTGTGTATTAATAGGTTATTGACTAAAGAAAGAGTATACTTGCAGGTCCTAATACAGATCTCACTACTTTGATAGGCAGACTTCTTTTTTTGAAGAACTGTTCTGGTCTGAGACTTGGCCTTTTTTTCATGGTTAGGTTTTTGTTGGATATACCTAATTTCTTTTTGATAGTTTCAGCATAGTAGGCATCGTCTTCTAAGGTTTAATTTATAATAATAATGTATGGAGTATCCAACAGTTTTTACTATACGCAGCGGATGTCGATTTAATATGTCACTTCATACATTTAGAACTATCTTCCCTAAAGCGGCATTGAGTTTCAGAAAATTGCAGTTTTTAAATTTTTCTTTTTGGTCTATAAAGAAGCTAGGTTTGTTTCAAATTACACACATAAATACCAACCATGAGCTCAGATAAATATTATCACTTATTATTATAATTAAAAAAATCAAATGTATAACCCCTAATATCCGTAACTAAAGATGAATTTTTACTCTTATTACTATCAAAACTGATAAAATATTTAGATATTGCTTATTAGCATCTAAATTGATCATTGATGGAGTAAACCAAGTTTTGTAAAATTAAAAAAAATAAGTTCCTACATACGCTTAAAGCCACTAAATTTGAGAAAATTGTAATTTTTAGATTTTTCTCTTTACTTATATTATATTATAGACTGATAGAGCTACCTTTGTAACGAATTGTATTGTTATTTGTTTCTTCATATACCGTATAAAGTTATGCATACCAGTGACAAAAATAAAACTTCGAAGCGCTCTCCTTTTGAAAAGGCTTGATATCACAGTCTCAAATTTTACAACGCCCTAAGCTCCTTAAACTTAATTTATGTGTCATATTTTAAAGGTTCCTTTCAAGAAAAAGCAAATATGTGAGGGTTAGAAAATCTAGCTGAAGCCGTTTGTGTAAAGATATACACTGGTATTGATGAAACTCGGACGGCTTACTACCTTGTGTTCAGTGCTCAGATATGCCTATCTATATCGTGTGTCCATTATAATGTATATTGTTTTTTATTGCAATGTTTTAATAATAATCAAAAACTACAATTAATATTCCTTTATGTATTCAAATAAGCACGTTAAGTAGGTACCTATACTCAACTTTACAGATAATAGAACGGAATAATGAATATAATATATTGTGAATAACAAAATACAATTGAACCTATATTAAATAAATCATACAAATGTTGTGGAATTTGTTTGTAGTAAAATATTTCATAAAAAGGCTACCTACTCAAAAATATTTTCATCAGATTCTGAAATAGGGATACCATCATCGTACGAGTATGTCTATAGTATATATTAGGTCTAGACGTATAGTACATATTATTATATAGTATATATAGTATTTAGTTTATTTCATCTGCTTGATTTTACAATGATGTGATCAAAATGTAATAATAATTTGTTTTTGATATTAAAGTTCTCAATAACAAATCGTGTACAAATATTTCTCAAGAGCACCCGAATCAGTCAAAACACTTTTAGGATTCAGAATACTTAAAAAAAATGTTGCAGTTTTCCTTATATAAAGTAATCAAATTTATAATTACTAAAATAGCCGAAAATGTTGACATAAGCTTTACCTACCTAGAAGAGTTGAAATTAAAATGTATATATTATTTAAAGTTAATTTTTTTTTAATGTTATATAATAAGTGTTCATACAGGAAAAACATTGAAGATAAACAAACTTAATTTATTGACAAAGTTAAAAATGAATTTGAATATTTTATTTTCACATTAGTTACGTAATACGTATTACATTTCTGCAGTATTTGCGAAGGCTGCAAACGCTTGCGAGGACTTACATTTACAGGCAGATAGATACCTAAGTATATATGTATATACAATTACAAACCGACCTAAAAAGCGTGTTCGAAGCGTGGGAGGGCGAAAACTACTAGCCTTTATTTTAATATCATTTCGGCTGCACGGTCTTAATGAATAATAAACCAAAATTTCGCCTCCGAATCGCACGCATATCTATATAAAAGTACATGATAATATCGCCCTCGAATATGCGACGCGACGAATAATAATACGGCGGTCCATCGCATAATTTCCAGGAAAAGCTTTTCTCGGCGCACGCTTTTCCTACAAAACATATATATTTTAATTCAAATTATAAATAATAATACCATCGACGATGCTTCTCTAGGGGTGAGAGACGGCGAGGGTAGGTACGATAGGAGAGCCACGAACGAAGAGGACGTCGACAGACGGCGCATATTATTATGCAGTCGAAAATAATATTATTATTATTATTATTATTATTATTATTATTATTATAGTGTGTCTCGTACTATATACCGGACACGCCCGCCGCGGCATCCGATTGGTCGGCCTAACCCCCGCTGGTGGTACAAAAAGTTAGTGCCCCACCGCGCCGCTCACCGGGCCCTATCGCGGCGGCGCGTGCGTTCCACAATACGATATTAAACTACCGTCGTCGTCGTATTACATTATTATTTTTATCGTCGTCGTCGTCGTCGTAGTCATCGTCATCTCGACGTCATTGTATGTTCGGTGGTGCCGCTGACAGTATATACGCGCAAAATTATTACTACTACACGTGTAGTATTTCAACGGTGCCCACCCCGGTCGTCCGTCCGTAGTACTATCGTCCGCTCTCGATTTATAATGTACAACAGTATTCATCACACAGACATGTGCATATTGTGTTTTCGACGAAATTAACGAGAACAATATTCACTCGCGTACGAAATAATAATACAACCGTTGTCGACGGCGTTACCAGCTCGGCAGTCGTCGTCAACCGTCCGGTAAAAACCAACACTATACGGTTATCTAAAGTAGTAGGCATACTTGCAATAGCGTCAGTCGTACGCAAATCGTCCAATGCTCATGATGAACGATTTCGGGTCGATGGGCCCGGGCAACATGATGCCGCCGTCGTTCAATCCCATGTGCCAGGGGCTGTTCGAGCACCAAATGCCCAAGCCCAGGCTTGCGTTCAAGATGCCCCGCGTGGTGCCCGACCAGAAAAACAAGTTCCAGACGGACGATCTGTTCAAACGACTCAGTCGCGAGAGTGACGTAAGTACGACTCTATATATACTTCGATAGGTCCACTTCAGTGGTAAGTGGTCTATATCAAACAGATACCGCACTTTAGATTTAGGGTAGGTTCATATTATTGTAGTTTACCTATTATCTAATCGGTAATAGGTATGCTGTCGTCCGCATCTATTTCAATTAGATCAGCTTAATATAAAAACCACGAACCAACATTATGACTTTTTTCATTATACACACGCATAGGTGTGCGTCACAGTGCTTGTACAAGTATATATACAACGACAAAATAATATGATGTATTACATGAAAATGATTACCTATGTAGTTACTTAATTTTACGCTACATAAGAACTTGAAATCTTACTAGTAATTAAAACGAAATGGATTTTTTCTTTAAATGTATATCAATTTCAAAGTACCTCTATTACATTTTTATGATTAAACTATTTTATACCTATTTAAAATAAAATAAAACTTCGGTAAAAAAAAATTAATTTTGTCAACTAACCAAAGGAAACTTTTTCCATATCTACAGTTTTCGTATCCATTTGATTAGGGACGGCGGTCCAAGTGATAGTAATCAACGAAACACTAGTGAAGTCGTTTAATCTCTGTAAAAATATATGAATCCAACAAACGTTCACGTATTTTTCTTTTAACATTTTAAATATATTATATCAATTTTTGTTTCAATGATGTACTTAGAATTCTATTCCCTCGAATTTATTTTAAAGAATATTTAAAATGTTTATAATATATAGAGAAGATTTCAACATCAAGTTGCTGTATGCAATCGTAATGCACTAATGCTTTTACTTATAATAGTAGTGTGATTAATTTATTTCGCTATCGACTAACAAAAAAATCCATTTTATTAATTGTTAAGTTAAATTATTATGGTAATGGGAAAATCAAAAACAAATATGAAAACCGTATTATACTGTACACGTGTCACGGATATACTGCCTGCAAATTAAAGCTATCCATCTATATAATCCACATATAGTATACCTTTATTATGATTTTTATAGCATTGTTTTCTCAACTGATAAAAAATCTAAACTCAAACGAATATGTATATATAATGTAAAATGATAAGACTTTCAATAGAGTAGGTAGGTCAGATATATACATTTTTTGGTTCTTTGACTTTAATTTATTTGTAAGCACCATGCGTATACAATAATCTTACGAGCTATTATAGGTAATGGTAACTAATATAGTGTTATAAACTTATAAATATACAAAATATATTATATGATGTTTAATTTTCACATGAAGTTCCATAGGTATACTTGTCAGTATTATAAATATTATTCTCTATAGAATATACTCGATAGTATGATAATGTAATGTCTCATGTGAAATAATGTGTATGGTAAAAATATTTACTCAAAATATGTTACTCATTATAGTCAAAAATATATTTACACGTGCAAATAGCCTAAATATACTATATAGCTACTATATTTTATTTTACAATGTAATAATATGGTATATGAATAAGATTAATAAGACTGTACCTGCACAGTAGCGTGACTGATTCGTAGAGCATTATTTAACACCCTACGAGGTGGCTTTTTCCTTTCAAAGCATCTGTACTCGCTCTACGGGACTTCGATTTTATGTAATTTACAGTTATTCCGAATACCAATAGTTTTTACTTTTTCTTTTTAATCTACATTCTTATCCATAATATTAACGCGTTCATAATAACACGATACTAATACACTATTCGAACTTCTAGAACAAGACTGTCACAACACAACATTTATAATTTTGTGAAAAAGCGATTTGAAGTAATTTCTTCACTATTCGAAAGTACCAATAGTCATAACTCAAAATTGATGAATTTTGAGTTGTGGCAGTCTTGTTCTAGAGGTGCGCATTATAGAAAAATATATGCGTGTACCTACTATATATTCGGCGCAATTACTTACAAAATATTATTTACATCAGTGGTTCTTAACTGGAGGGGAATATCCTCCCCCTAGGGCTTTATCAGTGTAACATTTGTATACCTCTTGGGAGGGAATATATAGTAATGAGGAAATACAATTTTGACAATAGCATTAAACAAAAATCAAATTATCTCTAAATATTTATTTTTAATTCAAACAATTTTTTTTTAAATTTTAATAATGGTGGGTATACCATCAGAAATTATTAGAGTACTGACAAACTACGATATCTACGATAGGTAATTATAACGCCTCCATTAGCTATATGGCATATGGCCGTATTTGGAATATTGTTTGTTGACGAGTATGCCACTTTTGAAATATACTTTGATCTGAGTCCAAATAGTAAGGAAAGAATGAAAATCTGACTATTGGCTCCATGTCTGCATGAAGAATAAAAGGTCGAGTACCATACTGATTTACTAAATACCTAATATATAATGCGACGGAAGCCTATGAGCAACTCGTGTGATCTTACACCATATTACGCTAGTGATTTATTGAGGAAGTATCGATGACTTATAAATTATAATATACTAAATATAGTTCTGGTCAGGATCAGGAAGTTGGCATTTACATTAAGAAGAAGGAAAAAGCATTTTTAGTTCAAAACCCGCAGAAAAAAATATTATCTATACCTAAATTAGATTTAATAGTGCACAACATGCATTGTATACCATGTTGGTGCATTTATAATACGTACAATTTACGTTTTTAAATTTCCATTAGCTGGTTGATCGTTATAGCGGGCTCTACACACAAAGACATTTTGACCGAAATAAGTCATTAATCTTGATATAAGACAGTTATCGGATACCATGTGGCCCTTTCCAGTGACCAGGTCCTGTGACACTTTGCCGCCACTATATAAATGCTGTGCCTGATTTTAATATTGCCGCATACTGACCACCACGTGTGTCTTAAATCTAAATGGTCAATTTTTAAACGATTCACAGCTGTATAGCATCGAAACCATATTATGTGGCTAACACCTAACATTATACCCCATACGAACTACATTTATCAACGTTATAGCATATTATTTTTGTTTGCCCAGTAAGAATATATAGATATTCTTTTTTTAGTTATTATATTATAAGTGTATAAACTATAAATCAATAATACCGCATCATATCATCATACATTTCTTAAGTTGAAAAAAATAAATAACTACGTAATTTAGTGTGCGTTTAAAGTATTTGATAGTGAATTTAAAATAGTTAAATTTAAGTAAAAATGTTTCATAAATCTACAGTCATATTAATATTTTAATATTCTTTTTTATAAGTCAATATTATATGCACAATGGCCAAATAATTTTTCATTTCGATTATTACAATGTCATGAAGTACATATATAATTAGAGTGACGAGCTGCAGACAAGACAATATGAATTTGAATATATTTTTTGTATATTTTCATCTAATATTACTTTCTTTTAGATCACGGAAATATGAAGTAAGACATAAGTGCCTATAATATTGATTACTATTTATTCTGATGAATACATTTTGATAAATTACCTACATAAAATGCATTCATTTTGAACACGAGTCACTTTTGTATCTTTGACCGTTAGATATCTTATACCAATTCACGACGCTGTGTTTAAATATGAAGCTTGTTACATTTTAATAAATAATACTTCTATTTATAATAATCCTTACGAAATTACACATAATATAGGTAGTTGCCTAATTCGTAAATTGAGCAAATTTTAATTGTGTCCACATCATAAAATATGAAAATTGTTTCTCTATCTTTAAATTGTACAAACTGCAGTTTATGCACCCGTTTCGTGGATTGAGCTGAATTTTGTTCATTTCAGTCATTTCAGTATTTCTCTTAATTTCATTTGAGGCGTAACTACGCAAAATAATATTATATAAATGTTCAAACCATACAAAATATAAATGAAATACCAGTAAAATGAATTGTACTTATATTTTGTTTTTATTTTACAGGTCAGGTATACAAGCTACAGAGACAGGCCTCATGAAGAACGACAAAACCGTTTTCAAATGGGTTGTCGTGAAGGACACGTGGACATCGTAAGTATTAAATCAATAATAACGATTCGGATCGCAGCCGAGTAACTATTTTTCTAGGTTTGTTGTTTATACATTTTTCATTTTGCTATCATAGGCTTTCGCCACGACAGGAACAAATCTTCAACTCATGTTCACTCCGAATATGCCGTCAATGACATCTTACCACCAACCCACTATTGGTTATTGCGATTTTGAAAAAGAACCAGGAATGGTAAGAAAATATATTTAATATTGTCATAATTTATTTTTTAAGATTCAAAGCTAATATGATGAGTAGAAATTAGAAAATTATAGAAAAAAAGTTTGTTATTTATAATATCTAAACTCTAAGTATACCTATACCTATTTGTATAGATAGTATATTTCCATTTGCTGACCAATATGATTGTAAAACCATTAAGCCCATTACGGTACAGTTAAAATTAAAACGTTGGTATAAACTGTATAAATGTTTAATCTAAAATCATTATACATTTTTAAAGTATATGGTATTAGTACAGTACTTTATTCCGTTGGCAGTTAGGTAATAATAATATTCAGTTACTAATACTGGCCAAAAGCTTGCGAGGTTAGGTTATGTCCAAAATACGTCGAGGACAGATGTAAATATTATGAAATCATCGATATAGTTTCTTCAATAATATTATTCAACCTTAACCTGTATAAATAAGAAAATATATGAGTGCATACTAGGTGTTTATATATAAATACATTACATACTATATTATAAATATTATATTTGCAATATGCCTTTATATATATGTTTAAAGTTTACGTGAACATTGCATAGTTTTCAAAAATACCCGCTTTTACCTTTTATATTGGTGTACAATATAAAAATATTGTTCTGAAGTTTTGAATTCGATGTCTCGTGAAATGTGACTATATAGATATAAAATGTATATTGCAATAATGATGAAGAATACAATAAATTTAATATCGCTGTCAACGAACCATAATATTAGTAACATTAATTAGATTATTAGGTGTTAGATGTTATATGTTATTACTTATTACGTATTAGGATGATCATTAAAAGTTGCATTTCTTACTGTGGAAAGTGTATATACATTATATTATAAATATACATCAATCTGTCTATGACATTTTGTGAACTCACACACATGTACACATACACATATATTATATATTATGTAATATAATATATGATTTAGAATAATGACATGACACAATGAAAATACTTCCTCTTTTCTTTGAAATTCTATTCGTTATAACAACAATAGTGCCATTGGAACTCTGAAAACAAAATGGCGTCAATTATAATCCCTCCCCTCATCCATGCAACCCTCTTTTTCGAAAGCGCATATTGATCCGAGCGTTTTTCCCCTTGTCAACACTCGGCAGTGTTTTGGGAATGCTTGCGACAATATAATAATAATACAATGCTATACAAACTGACGACAGTGTTACAATACGTTATACGTATAATATTTACAACAAATGTTAATAATATTATTTACAGCGACCGGTGCAGTTGGGGTAGTTTTTCAAGTGTGATAAATAGGATATAGGTATAACCATATTGTATTATATACACACCTACTACACACATATATATTACAATAATGATAAGATTGCAAGTCGAAATGTATGTTGGTGTAGTTATTTGTTTACAGCCGACTGCGATTTGGGCATTCTGCTGACGAGAGACATCATTTCTAAGTAAAACAGACGATATACTGACGTATTGTAACATTTTTGTTTGTTCCAACTTCCAACTGCACATAAAAGCCCAAGATAGTCTTTTAATTGTTGGATGTTTAAAAAAAAAAAGTTAGTCAAAGCTCAAAACCATACTTAAATAAATATAAGCCAATACTCCTGACGATTAGAAATAATTGTCCTCCGATCAATATAATATAGACGTAAGATGAGGGTAGGTACAGTACGATTGCAATGGGAAAAACGAAACTCCCTCGCGACGACCACTGAATGACCATCATGTAGGTACGATATAATATTATAATAATATATACAAGCACCTATATGGGTAGGTACCTAACTATATTATGTAATAATTGAAAAATTACCCGTGAAAAAGGCGTATACTTACGTACCTATAGGCATTATGTTACTTTTACGATACGCGATTTTGACAGCCCTGACAAATTTACTGAAGAGCTGACAACACAATAATATCATCGTACAAGTACGCCCGGTTTCAATTTCAGATGTTTGCTTGTATACAATCTTTTCTTTTCTTTTTTTTTCACCCTCGTGTTTACTCCGGCTTATGTGTATATATCGCTATTGTTGTGAACCCGGTATTGTATGCACACACACACACGTATATGGCTATGTAATAAATATGTATATATATGTACGGTAATATATAATATATTATAATATGTTCGAGTGAAGGCACTTTTTTTTTTAGTCTACTGGACACCGGCGCATACCTACCGAAAAGACGGGTGGATGCGCGGGATTGGTGTGCGTGTCTTTTGATGGCCAACAAAAATAAATAATTATATCAATAATAAGTATAATGTACCTCACTCAACAACAATGATGTAATAAAAAATAACATAATTTTGAAATACTTTCGAATTGACTAAACAGATGCAATACATACACTGCACGTATAAAAATATAAAAACTTAAATATAATATAAACATTATTCGGATGTAAGGCTTGACCGTATAAAAATGTATATATGTGTTATAGGTATACTCTTACACCCTGAAATGACATATTTTACACTATCCATTATAATGTATATATTTTATTTGTGTATTATTTATATAATTATGTATGATAAATGATAATATATTTTCGAGTGGATGGTTAAGTACGACGTAATTTCCATTATATAGGTATATTATAATTATTATATGTACAATCATTATAATATAACGTACATTTACTGTAAATTATTTAGGTACACATTTATAAATTATAATAGAGTGGACTTACAATAATGAATGGACTTCAGCAATACGGCACCACAATAACTGTGTATATACGCAACCGTATGGGTGCTGTTTTTAAAATTAAATTTTGTAAGTCCAAGAATAGTTACAGTGTGGGAGTACAGAGGAAAAAGCGAAGCTCATCAACTTAAGTTTTAATGATGACAATTTCGGTACGACGTATAGCATATAAGTATACGAGCGATATGCCGAGATTTATTTTCGCCGTTCTTTTTTTATACCCATAATTTACGCACGACGCTTCGGCCACAAAGACGTTTAAAGATAATTAATTTTGGCAAAGGTCTTACAACCCGTGGCGTCGTATATTGCAATAAAATGTAAGTTTATTATTTTGTTGTAAATATCGCCGAACATCGATCGTACGTCAATCTCATACGCCGCACATATCCGTATATTTAACAATAGCGCCATTTCCGGTATAACGGCGAATATGTTAAACACAGTGCAGCAGAATTGTCGTTATTATTATTACTGCCTACGGGCGACGAACCCCAATTGGAAACATTATGTTATATAATATATATTATTTTATTTTATTCTGCAGTTGGAATTTCGGGAGGGTGGTGAAATAATTACTAAAACAAACGTCATAAACACCTCGTGCGGCGTACGACACATTTTCAACGTGTTGACGCTGAAAATGATAAAAGCCTTTAATTACGTGCACGGGTATTTGTACCTACATGTTTATAATAAAGGTATCTAGGCGGTGACCATCGTGTCGATTTTTATTCACCAACACGAGTTATTAAGACAAATCAAACTTGCAATAATGGTTAAAACTTAAACGTGTTGTACACCTACGTGGCAGCACGTGTGCTATATAAAATATTTTGAGATTTAAACTGTTTTTGGTACGTTCTAAACGATAATTGCATACAAATAAAACTGTTGTGATTTAATTTTAAGTACCAATGGGTAGGTAATTGGGTATGAGATGACGCCTAACCTTACGAACAATAACTTACATCCGTTTACCAAATGCGTAAAACNTCTCTCGACTGGTGCTGAGGATGGAATCGTGGTATTGTATTTTAGGAATACCTCTTTAATGATAGGGTATTCATTTAAAACGTCTAAATCTTTTTTATTTGAACTTAGGTAAGATATAGCCTGTAAATTTGCATAATTCAATCGCTTTGCTTCTGAAGCAGTTGTATAATCATCAATTTTCTTTTCGGTACAGATATTCCCATAAAACTCATTGTCACTACTGTCAGAATCTATTTCTACAACAACAGACTTCATAAATTGTTCAGAAGTGGCAGCTACAACACTACACTCATTTAAAAATAGTGTTTTACAAATATTCATAAACCTAACTGGTACCCAACTGAGTTTAAATTTAGGATGACTTATGGAAGAAATAATGAAACTTTTACTTTCCGGACTATTTAAATCAAATAAATAACTAAATCTAGTTTCTATGGCTTTTATAATTGTAAGACTTAATGGCTTACAATATTTCTGATTTGGAAATGCTATTAATAATCTTCTTAGTACTAAAATAGTTGGTGCTACATAGCCCAAAAAACTCCTATTTTCCCCTTGTAACTTGTCCAACGATATAGCTAAGGGTTCCATGGTTTTGCAATGTTCTTCTAAAAATACCCATTCATTTAATTTTAATTTAGTCAAATGTAAATCATCAATTAACTTAATAATTTGAGATTTGTGTTTTAAGATTTTCAGTGATGCATCATATAAAGAATTCCAGCGCGTTACAACTGGTACCGGAAATTTACAACCACACATTTCAAATACTTTATCTGAAGCAACAGTACTTCTACTGATTAAATTCCAAAAACTATACAATTTTTTAAAAGTTGATTCAGAAAGTTGTAAATAGTTAGTATCTGTGATTTTAGCAATGTCTGTGGTTGCAATCAAATTTAATGTGTGTGCACAACATTTTAAATGTTGTGGTAAATAAAAAGAATGATCTGTATCATGTAAATCAAGTTGCTCTTGCTCCAAATTAATAAAAAGTTTCTCTACATCCATTATTTCCATATTATCTATTTCTAAATCAGAATTATCAGAATCTGAACTATTTTCATTTAAGTCACCAACTTCTGAAGTTGACTGAACTGATGAGCCTATTGAAAATGTTCTAAAACTCTTTCCAAAGTTACTTGCGTTGTCAGTCACTGTGTGAGTAATTTTCGAATAATGGATTCCAAAATTTTGTGTTATTTCTGTCATGACTTCAGCTATATTTAAGTAGTTGTGACTTCCTTTGATTCTTTTACA